AATGCAATTGAGAATGAAGAAATTACACCAGTGGTTAATAATTATTCAAAAGACAGGATGCATCGCCCTTGCAGATTCACAGTTCCGAAGGGCGGATGAGATGCTGCTCGTCTGCAGAACCTTGGCATATGAGCAGTGAATGGAATGAAACCTCTTGAGGTGGGTATCTTGGAAGTGATTGGCAATTAGAGGTCTCAGTGACAAATCCGGGCTCAATTATATTTTTAGGAATATTTCCCAACACTTTGGTCAGGCCACTGCTGGTACGAAGAAGGCCCTCCCTCCCCCGGTGCCGTGTCGCCCGCCAACCGGCACTCGCGGTGTTCGGTTCAGGTTGGCGAAGGAAGCGGTAACTGGGAGGGTGCTCGCCGAACCAGGCCAGAGGTCACCCGCCGCTGACGGTGGCCGTTGGCCGGGAATCGAACCCTCGTCATGAGAATCGTAGCACCCCGACAAAGCGCTGCACACCCGGGGATGAATCTGTACTAAAAGATAACATTTAATTATCGCCATGTATTTGCTGCTTCGGCGCCCGGTTCGTGGTTGCGTTGTGCCGTTGTTGTGCCCGCGTGCTGCAACACACCGCACTGAGCGGGGGCGAAGACGCTTCTGGCATGCGCCGAACGACGGCGTGGTACGGTCCCGAAACAACAACAACAACAACAACACGTCGGGAGTGCTCCAAAATCACATTTCGCTCTCTGCACATTCTAAGCAGCAACCCGGCCAGCTGCGGCTGTGCCAGAAGACAGAAACGGTGGCTTGGAATTGCGGCCGGAGGTGAAATGGGGTGAGCCTGCAGCGTGGCACGGTGGACGGGGAGCAGCGCTGCGGCTTTTTCCGTAATGGAGCCATCGGCGCCGAAGTGGACGTTGAAGCCCGAGGAGTGAAGTGGACCGCCGAGTGCCCGTCGGCACCCACGTCCCTAATTGTGAAATTGCGCTCGTAAAGAAGATGGGTAATGGTGATGGTCGTGAATGCGTCTCCCAGTTATGCGTCACGTTGCAGGGCCGGCTAATGTTTTTTTTTCTTCTGATTGCCGATTTCAAGATTTGCCACCCACAAAAACAACATCCAGCTTTCGTGATATGCATCAGTGGTGATTTGTCGTCGTCGTCGTCATCATCAGCCGTGATCGATCCGCTGCTGGATGAAGGCCTCCGTTATGTTTCCGATTTAACATGGTTGGCTGCGTACGGTGCGAAAGAAGTTCTACATACATACATGCATCATGCATGTTCAGTAGGGCTTGATGACCACGGTGGCAAGAGGGCCTTTGGTAGTCCTACATAGATGTGTCGGTTCGATGATTTGTAGTCGATTCCTATGCCCATGGTTCGTGCATTGGATCGTACTCCACATTGTAATCAATTACCGTATTTCTCCGGACTGTACAACGCAGCCCAAACATGTGCCCGGTATTGATAAAATCGTACAAATATGGTTACACACACACCTACCCGATTTATTATCAGACGCATCTCCAACTTTTGCTTTAAGTACTGGGGCGGCTAAAAAGGATTTCTTATAATCTGGACAATACGGTCATTGTTTTACGATTCATGCAAAGGGTACGCAAACGTGAGGGGGTGACGCTTCAGCGCTGTGAGGTTACGGTACGGGATATTGTCTCTAAGCTGCTGGTCCAGGAGGTAAGGAGTCGAGGGGAGAGCGAGGGTGAGAGGGAAGGAGGCAGTGGGACGAGGGTGTGAGGATGCGAGGCTTTCGGGATGAGCTTCTGTGGCCGTCTGGAACACTCTCCCTTCAGATATTAGGAAGCCTCTGGTGCTTTTCACTTTTATATCTAAATTGAAAAACTCATTTCTTTACAACTGATTTTTGTGTTTAGTTTGTCTCTCTGCCCCACGCACTTCCGTTTAGCGCGGTGGGCTACGTACGGTGCGAACGAAGTTCAACGTACATACACGCATGAGAAGTTCAACATACGTACGTCCTTGGATGCGACTCAACAAGTCGGCACAGAATAGAAACACGCGGCACTCGTGGCTGCGAAGAAGAGGAGGCACAAACGAGACAAAAGGGAGACGTTGAAACTCATCGTTTCTTGGATCGAATCGCGAACTCAGGTTGTGACAGTCCGTCGGATCCGCTGCACCACGTCCGGGCGAGAGTGGGGGAGGGGTGAAATTGTCGCACGCAGCCGAACGTTCGACTCGTGACCCCGTGACCTCCCCAGTCGCACTGGGGTTACTCGGGTGTCATCGTCTTTGCCCGCCGAAGGTTTCAGTGGGGGCCCAGAACCTAGGGTCGTGACCTTGTGGGCTCCCACGAATAAATAAAAAAAAAACAGGGGTATATCATGGGAAGAAGACCGTCTTGCAGGGCCGGAAGAGTGGGGGGAAAACGTACAGATTCCCCAGTGTGTTCGCCACCTCGACGAGAGTACGATCCCGTGAGATTCGAGTTTGGGAGCCGGCGGCGGTAACCGCTGGGAGGTGGCCGAGCGAGGCTGTGGCGAGGTCATTGCCGCCGTGTTGTGAAAAAACGCCGCGGGGCTGGGAGCCGGCACGTGAAGTGGCTCGGCTCGTTTGGTCAGTCGGAAGCCACAGAAGGCGGGGGGGGGAACACAATGTCCAGGGAGAGGAATGAGATCGCATCGAGCACCGCTCGGTCATATACAGTCCTGTGTACACATGCGTGTGTTCCGTGTTCCGTGCGTGTCTGTGTGTGTTGAGTGCGCGTATGGGGAGCGACGGTGTAGCGGTTAGCGCTACGCTGCGCTACGAACCCGGCGACCCGGGTTCGATTCCCGCTCGCGGCCAACATCCAGAGACGATTATCTGAACCGGTCCTGGGCTTCCCCTAGGTCGACTCGGCCTCAAATGAGTATTTGGTGCGGTGTGTAAACATCGCCACTGGGGAGACAAAGGCAGCCGGGCGTGGTGCTGGCCACCCACCCCCTTGTGTGCCGTGCCGGCCTTCATATTTGCTGCTACTCGCCAACAGCACTTGCTCCAACGGTCCGTTTAAAGGCTATACAAGGGATGTTTTGTGTGCACTGGTTAGCACGGTGCACTTGTTAGCACGAACCCACTTCACGACTAATATATATTCAGTGACGAACCAGTCCGAGGCCTCCCTGAGGCCTCAAATGACTACATAGTGCAGCATGTACACAGCAGCACTGAGGAGACAAAGGCGTCCGGGCGTGATGTTGGCTCTCCACCCCCTCGTTGTACCGTATAGGCTTTCATAGGTTCTTGATGGATATTTTACACCACACCTCAAATGTGACGTACCAATGTTACACACGAATGTGGCTAAATGTGTGTATATGTGCACAGTATGCAGCCAACCATGCTAATCGGCGGTGCGGTGGAAGGACAACAATCTAAACACAAAAAGCAATCCTAAATAAATGAGTCTTCAGTGTAGGTGATTTAAAAATGCATAAATCCAGTGGCTTCTTAACATCGGAAGGAAGAGCGTTCCAGACGGCCGATGATTTTCTGGTGATGTACGGCGATTGCCAGTGAGATGCATGTTGATACTGAATCGAAATGATGATGATGATGATGGTGGTGGACTGCGATGACTATGAACAATGTATGCCGTAAACACAGAACAACCTGGAACAGGATGTGGGGTTTTCATGTTTTCTGAGAATGCCACATCAGCTGGATTTTCGCGGGCTCTGTGTTGTTTCACGAAGCTAATCGCACCCTTGGCGAGCAGCCTTCCCGCAAATCGCGATCCGTTATATATTCGTGAAAGCGGCTGTGAGCGCGTCACGGCGGCGTTAATAATTCCGTTGTTGAAGCGAGAGTGGCGATCACCGAGAGGTCGCGGCGACGAGCCGCCGGACCGCCCCGGCCGAACGTCGAAGCGTGGCCGGGCGGTGGACGAGGGTGGAGGAACGGGCTCGCCTCGAAATGAGGACGCAGAATCGGGGGTCGGTCGGGAACGTTATTCGGGGGGCAGCGGCGCGACGGGGGGAGAAGGGCAGATGAATGGAGATTTGAATTTACGATTTACGTGCATCCGAAATGATTTACTTGGTTCACCGATGGGCTGCGATGGTAATAATTGATGGCCGAGCGCACTGATGTTTGACCGCTTTCATCGAGATTAATGTTATTCCCAGACAGCGTCAACGGACCGGCGAGTCGCGCTCCACCACAGTCGGTTTTATTACAATGGCCGTGATCATTTTACGGCCACTTGTCACTCGACCGACGGATGAAGCCCCCCCACCCCCGTCCCCACGCCGTGTCAAGCCATTGGGGTTGTTTGACCGTACTTCACCATGCTGGTCAGCACAGGATTGGTGAAGGAGGGTGGATGGGGAAGGGAGCGGTTTGGGCATCGCTCGCCCTGTGGCACAGTTCGCTCCAACTGTGCCACAGGGCAGTGGACCCAGTAAACGCGGGGATCGGTGTCCACGACCGCGGCATAAAAAAACAAAACTACACGAGCGGGGATCTGGCAGAGGGAAGGAAGCGATGACCTTTTTTTTTTTTTTGGCTTGGAGCTTCGACCTCGCACGAGCCTTCCCGGCCACACCGATGAGGTGCCTCCTAAATGAGCGGGGGGGGGGGGCACAATCGCTTCCGCAGGGACCCAGACTCCTGCCCCTCGCTCCACTGCTTTGCTTCGTTGGTTGTGCGCGTCTGTGTTCACGTCTGGGTCGGTCCCGCTCGTTGGCAGTGTTTACGCTCTGACGAGTCTGTTTACGTGTCCGTGTTTACGTTTGTGTTTTACATTGGTGTCACTGTTTACGCCCGTGTTATTGTTTACGTTCATGTTTACGCTTCGTGCCTGCGTTTACGCCCGTGTTATTGTTTACGTGAATGTTTTTACGCTTCGTGTTATCGTTCACATGTTGCTATCGTTGACGTTTTGGCATTTGCGTTCAGTCGTTTTTAGCGGTTGTGTTTACGGTCGCTTTCGTGCTCACGGTCGCGCCGGCGCTTAAGCGTGCGCGGCTCTTTGTGCTTACTTTCTCGCGTTGTGTGTCCCCCCCTCCCCGCGTGCGCCAGCGCCGCCAACTCGTGCCCGTCGAGCCCCCGCGGCGCCGGCTCCTCGGGCTACCGGCTGGTGCGTGGCTTCGCGCCCGACCTGCAGCTCGTGGCCGAGTACGCGGCGCGCGCCGTCTCGGAGCGCGAGCAGGAGCGCGGCGAGCGCGACGGCGCCCAGGCCGACAGCCCCAAGGTGCGCGCCCGGCGCCCGCATCCAGCGCCGCCGAGAGCCACCCTGCACGGCCACGTAGCAACACCCGGCACCAACACCCAGTACCACCTGGAGCCCCCCTGCGGCACCACGTAGCACACACAGCGCCACCTAGAGCCACCCTGCACGGCCATGTAGCAACACCCGGCACCAACACCCAGTACCACCTAGAGCCCCCCTGCGGCACCACGTAGCACACACAGCGCCACCTAGAGCCACCCTGCACGGCCACGTAGCAACACCCGGCACCAACACCCAGTACCCCACCTGGAGCCCCCCTGCGGCACCACGTAGCACACACAGCACCACCTAGAGCCACCCTGCTTGACCACGTGGCTTCGCCCGGCACCAACACCCAACGCCACCTAGAGTCACTTTGTGAGATCATCTGTCTGCATGGTGCCGCCCTGCAGCAAACCTCCACAGCCACGTGTCGCACCCAGTGCCGCCCTGCACACCGATACACCACCTAGTGTCGCCATTCACAACTACAGCCAGTGCCACCTGGAGTCACCCTGGACAACCACATGCTACCCAGCGCCAAGCACTGCCACACTGCACAGCCATCAAAAACATTTCTAATCGGAGACCTAACCGGACAGCGAGCGACAAGTCACGTGACTCGAAGGAATCCAATCAGAAGTGGCAAAGACTGCCGCAACTCGCTCACCTCCTCCTTGCTCACTCCGTCGTGTGTAGAAAAATAATAAATACAAAAATACATCTCCATTTAAAAATAATAAATACATCTGGGGGAGGAGTGGGCACATTCCGTTAGCGTGCGAGGGCTGTGGGCTACCGCTTGAGGGCTGTGCGCTAGCGCGTGAGCCTGCCGCTGTGTTCCGTTAGTGTGTCGCATGTGCGCGCGTTTGCGTGAGGGCTTGCGCTTGCGTGCGTGTGTCCGTGCGTGCCTTTTCGTCGTGCGCTTTGACCCGCGCTCGCCGGCTGTGTCCGCCGACGCAGGACGGCTCGAAGCCCCCGTACTCGTACGCGCAGCTCATCATCCAGGCCATCACGTCGGCGAGCGACAAGCAGCTCACGCTCAGCGGCATCTACGCGCACATCACCCACAACTACCCCTTCTACCGCATGTCCGACAAGGGCTGGCAGGTGAGGCCGCGACGAAGCGGAGCGGACCGTTGACTGTTCATGCTCTCTGTCCGTCTGTCTCGTCTCTCGCCATCTGTCTGTCTCTCTCTTTGTCCATCTATACGTCCGCTCTGTCCGCTCTGTCCACGTATCCATCTGTCTCTCTCTCTGTCCGTCCGCACGTCGAACGTTTGTCTTTTGTTTGTTTGTTCCGTCTTTCCGTCCTTCCGTTTTGTTCATATATCCATCTATCTGTTAGTCCGTTCCCCCATTTGTCTGTTTGTCCTTCTCTTTTTCCACCCGTTGCCCCCATATTTGCGTGTCCTCGCACGTGTCTGTCCGTCCGCTCGCAAGGAGTGCGTGGCCGTTACGGCCTTCATAGGTGCTCGCTAACAGCGCTTTCCCCAAAAGCCTGTTGAGGTTGAACGGGGGATCTTTGTTTTTGTCTTTGTTGTCGCGCGCAGAACTCGATCCGGCACAACCTGTCGCTCAACCGCTACTTCGTGAAGGTGCCGCGCTCGCAGGAGGAGCCGGGCAAGGGCTCGTTCTGGCGCATCGACCCCACGTGCCAGGCGAAGCTCACCGAGCAGGCCTTCAAGAAACGGCGGCAGCGCGGGGCCTCCTGTTTCCGCACGCCCTTTGGCCTCCTCTCCTCACGGTGACCACCCCCCCCCCACAGCCCCCCCCCCCACCCCTTCTCTCCCCCCCCCCACCTTCTCATCCTCCTCCACCGTGCCTGTCCCTTCAACCATCTGTATTTGCCCCCTACCCACCCATCTTTCCCCTACCAGCCCCCAACCGCGCGTGCGCTGTAATGGTCGTAGCTCTGCGCGAGCGTGCGCGCTATCCGTTGATAGCTCTCGTAGCCGTCGCACGTGGTGCTGTAATGTTTGCAGCTGTGTGCGCGCTGTGGGTTGATCACTTGAGCACCTCACGTGCACTGTTAATGTTCGCAGCTGTGTGTCCGCTGTAGGTTGATAACTCTCGCGCCGCAAGCCTGCTGTAATATTTGTAGCTGTGCGCCTGCTATCGGTTGATAATTCTAGCACTGCGTATGTGCTGTAATGTTTTTCGCTTTGCGCGCGCTATCGTTTGATAACTCTAGCGCCGCGCACGTGTGTGCTTTAATGGTTGTGGCCGCGTGTGCGAGCACGCACGCCGCTCTTTTCTGACGCCGTGCGCGCGGTCCCGCTCGTTGGCAGGAGCGCGCCCGCGTCGCCCAGCCACTCGGGCCTGCTGTCCCAGCCGCCCAGCGGCCTGCAGACCCCCGAGAGCCTCTCCCGCGAGGGCTCCCCGGCCCCACTCGAGGGGCCGGAGCCCCCCCTCGCTCCGGGGAACCCCAAGCCGCTGCCGGCGCCGCGGAACGACGTGCGCTACACGCAGAGCGCGCCAGGTCAGAGTCGGAATCTCGATTATTATTATAATTTTTATTATTTTTCATCCCGGAGGAATCCGACGAGCCACGAAGCCCCATTTTTCACAGGTGTCTAGTAGAGGGGGGGCGGTGCACGCGGCGAGTGCCACTTTTTGCACAGACGTCCTTGCGCTCTGTAACGCTCGCCCGACGTGCATTTGCGATCGTCACGTTCCGTTCCAATCCGAACGGGGCAAAGATGACGTCGCGTGGCGCCTGGCGCGCGTGGTGACGTCATCTGTGGGGGGGGGGGGGGGGGGTGGGGGAGAATGGCTTGCGCTTGTCAGGTTTTGGGCAAGCATCTGGTTAATTTGTTCAGGTTTGTGTAGGAGAAGTCCCTAACAGCAGCACAACTTTATACCAAAGTTATGTTAATATTGGATTAACTTTACGAGAGTTATTGTGACCCCAACCCCCCACACAAACAGAGCTGATGAATGAAGGCATTCAAGCTGCTTTGGAAAGCCTTAATAGTAATTTAAAATCAACCGTCAGGCTTGCTCTCGAGTCATGGCTGCGGTGACGTTACAACGCAAGTCACACCGCGAGTGATGTGACCCTGACTTTCTCCTCCTCCTCCCCCTCCTCTTCCTCCCCTTCCTCCCTGTGCTGTCCCCGCGCCAGGCTCTCCCGTGTCGAGCCACCCCGTGATTTTCACAGCCCAGCACCCGCTGCCGGGCACCTTCATTCGACCAATCGCGTACAGCATTGCGCAGCCGCTCTCCCACTCCCAGCATGCCCTGGGGCTGCCCGCCCATCTGAACCAGGCCAGCGGCCACTCCCAGCACGCAGTGCTGTCGGGTTACTTCGCGGCCGGGCCTGACGGGCCATCGCCGTACGGCGGGTACTCCGTGCTGCGGCAAACGCTGGAGGAGAGGAAGGAGGAAGAGGAAGAAGGTGAGTCGAGCGATAGCTGGCGACCGTGCAAAAGATGCGACCGTGTCCATCGAGCTGCATTGGCGTCCGGTTGTCGAAACGAATACGTTATTAGGTCGCGCTCATTACACACAAAGTGCTTGCCACAAATGAACCACAATACCTTGCCGATCTGGTCAAGGAACATAAACCATCATCACGCAAGTTCTGGTCGTCCTTGCTCACACGTGTGTCTCGTGTGTGTGTGTGCGCGCGCGTGCCCTTGCGCGCTCGCCTTCTACATCGCTGCCACAGAGCTCAGGCCGCTGCGCCCACCCGTGCTGAGCGCCGTGACGTCCGTGATCCAGACGGCGGGGCCCAATCCCCCGTGCGCTCCTCCGCACGGCTCCGTGTGGCTCGGTGGCCCCGGCGCCGCCGCCTCCTACCACCACCACCAACACCACCACCAGCAGCAGCAGCAGCAGCACCACGCGGAGAACGGCTTCCACAGCGCCACGGCGCTGCAGCCCCAGCGTGAGTCGGCGCGGGGCGCTCGGACGGGCCAGCGGGGGTCAGCGAGCCAGGGAAGAGGGCAAGCGGCCTGCCCGGGCCTTGCGGCCGGGCCGCGTCGATGGACATGGGGGCAGGTTTGGGGAGAGACGCTCTTTGGGATCCTACCGTGTGTTGAGGAGGTACCTCGAGCGAGGGAGAGCCAGCTGATGCGACGAGGGGGGCGGGAGGGAGGGAGGAAGCAATAAAAGAGGCAATCGGAAGATTAAAAAAAGTACAGCTTATCACTAGCCATAAGCCCTCACCCTTCAGAATCTGAATATTTATAACTGGAGGAATTTGATGAGCTTTAAAGCTCTTTTTCACAGATGTCCAGTAGGGACGGGTCAGAACGTTACAACAGCAAGTTATACTACAACAGGATAGGAGTGCAAAGTATAGGAAAGGTAAGCAAATCACTCAAACATGTTTTTTATATTTTACCAGGTAAAGCCCACTGAGAGCTATTAGCTTTTCAGAAGTGACCTGGCCATGAATGAAAGCCAATCATATCCCTACCCCTAATCCCAACCGTAGAATAATAATTACTTGTGTACACAGGAAAGTGACGTGGGGATGTTTGGCCTACATAAATTGCATGTATGTCTGTAGCTATAATAATTACTTGTGTACACAGGAAAGTCACATGGTGATGTTTGGCCTACATTAATTGCATCGTATGTCTGTAGCTATAATAATTACTTGTGTACACAGGAAAGTCGCATGGTGATGTTTGGCCTACATAAATTGCATCGTATGTCTGTAGCTATAATAATTACTTGTGTACACAGGAAAGTCACGTGGGGATGTTTGGCCTACATTAATTGCATCGTATGTCTGTAGCTATAGGAGTAAACTGGAGAACCCAGAGGAAACCCATTCAGAACAAATTCCACACAGGAATCGAACTCAAATGCTTCTTTCAGTAAAGGCACAAGTTCTGCGACTGCACCGCCCTACCTATCCCCAACCCTATCCCAACCCTATCCCAAACGCTAACACGGTCCTGGTTCCTTCTCCTGGTTCCTTCTCCTGGTTCCTTCTCCTGGTTCCCGTACTGCTGATGCATCGCTCGTCGTGCTCGTCCGATTAGCGACGACAGCCCCACGAGTCCCCCAACGCCGGTTGTTCACCACGGCGCCACCGCCTCCTCCTCCTCCTCCGTGCGCTTCCCCTCCCCAGGAGCGTCCAATCCGCTGCAGCTGCTGGCGACGCAGGCCGGCAAGAGGCTGGTGCACGACGGAGACGGCGGGCAGGATGCCGGTGAGCCGGACACCAAGCGCCACCACCCTGACGCTCAACAGCAGCACCAGCAGCACCAGCAGCACCAGCAGCAGCAGCAGTACGGGGAAGCCGGCGTGGCGCCGGCCAGCCCGCCACTCAGCCCGGCCGCATCTCAGTCGCCCGTCGAGGAGGAGTGAAGCGACGCCACACGTGCCTTGTCGGAGAGCGCTAGCGGCGGACCGCGAGCGCCGTCCGCACGATAAGTTTCCGCCGCGTTGTCTCCCGTGCGTGTCGTTTATTTCGCGTTGCCGGATATTTTACTCTTTCCCAGTCGCCCGTCGAATTAGGCTGTTTTAAATTAGCATCCCAGGCGTATTTGATTTTCAGTATTTATTGCTTTATTTGTCTCTCTTCGGCGGGGGAGAGTTTTTATCGTGTGTGTTGAGAGGCGATCGGAACGATAGAAAAATAAATCAGTTCAGGTTTTTTTTTTTTTTCACCATTTGAGAAACCGTCGGGGTTAACGAGTGTCGCGTGCTGGGGTCGTGCGTGCCTACGCGACAATACAGCGCAGGTCAGAGGCCATCGCGCTGAGGTCAGAAGGTCGACGACGGGGGGTGTTGAGGTTGCCCCCGGAAAATGAATTGAGGGATAAAAAACATTTACAATAATAATAAAAACGATAATCCAACGAGGCTCACAGTTGAAACGAAAACCTCGTTACGTTCTTTTTTCTTTCCTGTTCGGGGGGGACCAGGCAGCCGACCCACCAACGCTTTCCATCACCGCATGCGTCAGCACGAGCAGAAGGGACCATTTCGTAACGAGGTGGGGGCGGGGGACAGTGGGGTGGTAAGAGGGGAGAAGCGGTGGCTGCGGTGCACAGCGCTAACGAACTTTGTTTCCCCGAGCGAAGTGGCCGGGGGTTACTCTTCACGTCGTCTTTCGGCTCGGAAACTCTTTAAGCGGCATCTAACTCCACGTCCATCCTGCGGCTGTTGCTGCGACGAACCTCCAGGCCTCGCGATGACCCACCAACGGTCCCTCTCGCCGAGCGGGGTCACCCCCACCGGCTGTGACCCCCCCCCCCCCCCCCGTAAGGCAGTGAGGGAAAAAATTTGTGTAGCCACAATTCTCACCCTTCAGAATCAGAATCTGTATTTATACTCCAGGAGGAATCCGATGAGCTACAAAGCTCTTTTTCACGAATGTCCGGTAGGGACGGGTCAGAACGCACCCCGTAGCAATGTGCGCGCGGTGGCGACAGTGGCACGGTAAGGAGAGCAAAGCGTAACACGCGACGTCGCTGGGAAAGAGTCTTATCCGCTACGCTTGCACAATCCCCGTTCGCTCAATCACCGTTCACTCAGCGAGTCAAAGCGCGGGCGGCGAGTTGCGGGGTCGGGGGGGGGTGGTGCCTGGCAAACGTGCGACGGAACACGGGGGAAGTGCCACGGCCGGCGGGATATTGCTGACGGTCCTGATTGTCGTTGCGCCTCGTTTAAGTGAATGTATTTAACGGAATGCACAAGGCCTACTGTCGCCATTGTTGTTGTTGTTGTCATTTGGCGGCGGTTTAGTTTTTTAATTGACACGCGACGTTACCGGCTGGGCAGCCCGCCACGTGTTAGAATCACGTACGGCGATGGCTTTTATTTTTTTTTATTTTTTTTATTGTGAAATTGCTGCGGAAACTAAGTACACTCAAAGATCCAGGAGGGCTGCTTGAACTCCCTTAAGACGGCTGAGCGGGCGCGTGCGGGGACGCGCAGCTGCGAACGAGCCCGCGCGTGCCGTTAAAGCGATAAGCGCAAGTCTGCTTCACATGGCAACTCAGACGACACTACACGGTGGTGGGGGGGGGTAGAGGGATGGAGGAGGGCGGCTCTCGTTGGAGCGACGAATGGGCCCCGCCGCTCGTGCCGCCAATGGCTCGCCGAGCTGACCGCCACTCCGCTCCCGTGGCGCCCAGAGACATTCTATTTTTAGAGAAAATTTTCTACGCGTGTGAACGAAAAAAAGCGGGGGAAAAGAAACGTTTTTTTTTTGTTTCGCAGAGAGAGGGAGGCAAAGGCGAGCGAGCATTTCCGCGCGTTCACGGTGGGCGCTGAGCACCAAAGACCCCCCCTCCCCCACATCACACCCCTCCTCCTCAACTTCCCCGAACCGCACCCCCCCCAGAGGTCACAGGTGCCTGGGTGCTGGATCGCGTTTTAGCTTTAAAAACGCTGCTTAACTTAGAGAGCGACCTTCACACGGACACACGCGCAGACGGACACCTTAGAGCATTGAAGGACGGATGCACGGACGGGACACCGAGACGGGCAGACGCACGGACAGATACAAGGATTTACTAACGGAGTGACACATGGAGAGAGAGAGAGAGAGACGGACGTCGGCGAGACTAATGGCATGCGAAGGGTCCTCATGAAACCCACCAACGCCTTAAACGAAAAACCACGCGGAACATCTGTAGACACTCGTGTGTGTGCGTGTTCGCGCTCGAATGTTGCTTTCTTTGACACGTGGACTTGCATTGCAATATCGAGTTTTTGCTTTGTGATGTGGCTTTGAAGGAAAAAAAAAAATAGTCACTTAGGAGAGAAGCGTTTCTTGTATTGCGCGTCGCCGCGTGCGTAGACAGTGGCGTCGCGATCCAGCGACGCTGTGCGTGGTGCTTTTGCAGTACTCGTCGGAGAAGAATCGTTTTTGTCGAATTGATCACCCACTGACAGATCCACTCGGGCGGCCGCGCGAGCGCTTCTTCAGCCGTTCGGAATGCACAAACGGCGCGTCGGTAAACGGACAACCCCCCCCGGTCCAGCAAAACTTACCTGAACTATGATTGTAACAAACTAAACAGCGTACATATTGCCTCTTTAAGTCGCTTCCCTTTAATATATATATACATTCACTTTGTATGTATATTAGCGATGTGGGACTCGGTAACTTCTGCGCAAACTTATATAAGGGGGGGGATAGTGCATTGGCACGCGTGGCCAGGCAGCCTGGCCGTGCCCACCGGCTTCCTTCCTCCCTGGTAGCCCCCCACCCCGCCTCTAGTGCCACCACGCAACCTGCCGTGGCACGCGCACCGACCGCAGAGCCACCGTCGTCACCTCCCGGTCGTCGCACGTCCCCCGTCGCCGCTCACGAGTGGCTCTCCGCAGCGCCCTCTAGCGGAGGCCTTCCGGCAGCGGCGGTGGCGTGAGCGTGCAATTGCTGCGGAAGCTGTGCGCCTTTTGACCTCTGGTCCCAAGAGAAGGATCGCCGACCGGCACGTTTCGGAGGAGCTGACGGACCGCGCGAGTTTATTTTGGTCGGCGCGTTCTCGGGTCCGGCGCGACTCGCTCGACGGCTCCGCTCATTACCCGGTTCATCCCGTAGCCACGTGTCGGTGGGAACCCCCGAAAGGGGGAGCTGCAACACTCGTCCAACACTACCGCTGAGCCCCGCACCTCCCTTTGACTTGCCACGAGCACGTCCAAGGGCTGCGGTGAGAGCAGTGGAAAGTCGACCGTAGGGGCCCCAAGAGGTTATTGGAAAAGTTGACCTCCGAACTCCCCCCCCCCCCCCCCCCGGGGTTAGGCAGTTTCTCTCGCTGTGCTTTATTTACCACTGGAATGCGGCTGTTAAGTTCCTCTCAGAAAACAATGTCACGAACTGAATTTTTTACTTTGTGAGATTTCTCAAGTAGGTTACCGGTAATAATAGGGTTTTTTCCTTTTTTCTGGCAACAAAACTGAAACCTTTTAACAAGGATTAATGTCTGCATTAACCACAATACCTGCAGTCAAAATGCAAACAAAAAACATACTATGATAATGTAATGATGTAGCTGATCACCCCGAGCCCTCATTACTTTGAATAGTGCATTGTCTTTGAGCTGTACGCCTTTTGGCGTCATGTGGTCGCGAACCAAATGGGTCGAGGCTCAAAAGAAAGCCGTCCCTTGGTGTGGACCAATTAGTTTCAAGGACAATGCATATATTATCATAGTATGTTTTTTGTTTGCATTTTGACTGGTTAATGCAGACATGAATCCTTGTTAAAAGGTTTCAGTTTTGTTGCCAGAAAAAAGGGGAAAACCCTATTATTACATTTTGGTACTGGCAAAGGAGGTCTAATGATGTAGGTTACCGGTGTTATGATAAAGAAAGAAATATAAGTTTCTTGAAAAGAAAAATTAACAGACGTGGGTCTGTTCAATCGTGTAAAGCATTTTTATTCATTGTAGTCCAACCTTATTGGCCTACCAGGCAAACTGAACTGGTTTTGACTATCCTGAGACTCATCAGCAGCGTGTGCTCTGTTCATTAACGTTTCTCCATTGTTAACCGTAACCCTGCTGGTTGTACACCAAAAAAAACCCCACAAAAATGACAAACAAAAAAAACGATTAAGTATATATCTCTAATAATAATATGTAGGCGTGTTGATATGAGTTGTTTGTGTGGATATGTTTGTGTGCATGGGGCAGGTCCACCTGCCAGGACCCATCCGTGCGGACTTCGGGGGGGATGGTTGGGTCACCGATTTCTAGCCGTGGCTGAGATCACAATCACCGATTATGATTTTTTTCTATAGAAGGCATCATTGATCGTCGCCATTTGCTCCATCAGTGCTCTCGTAAATTCCGTTCTCTGTTCGCTCTCATTTAGACGTAGGCGTTTTTTTTTCGCTCTCTCTCTCGATCATTTCATCATGCAGTCTTGGCAAGAAACGAAATGTTTGGTCCGTGTTTAGTTAAAACGTTCTCATCGCATTTATCCGAATACTGTAACGCTCCTTTGGATGTGCTCGAGTTCTGTACCACGCGGTGCCCGGCCTCAGCCAGTCATCTCGTCTCTTCTCTCGCTTTTGTTTTGCATTCGTTTTTCCATTTCCCAACCTTTCAGTGTTTTTTTTACTTTTTGAACCATTGGCGTAAAGAGTAATTCATAAATGGCGAAAAGAGAGGAAAAAAACGCGTGGATTTGTTTTTAAATGCTGACGTGTTCACTCGCCCATCACGCCAACGGTTTTAAATGGAAAAACAATTATGCCTAAAACCAAAAAGAGGTCACAGATGTGATGAAAGTTATAACAGGACCGTAATACTACAGACGAAGAATGTCTGCTTGCTTGTCCGACACTTTATTATCAGGCAGCCATATGGCCCTGTGGTCTGAAGTCGCAGTGTAGCCGCCCAAAGCTTCGTCTCCCCCACCTTAGCGATCTGTTTTTGCATCTTGGTTGCATGCAACTGAATTGCTCACTTGGGGGCATCTCTGTTGCCTGTCGCGAGCGGTTGCGCACGACAGGTTGCTCAAAGTAGTCGTGGACTCCGCTTTCAAGCGTCAGACTGCTCTGCGATTTGTCGAGACATATTTCAACACGTGAAACATTTGTGAACTGTGAGTGGTTGTTAGGATCCTGATTTTTTTTTTAGGTGGTGAGGGGGGTGGAGCTTAACCATACAAGGCGTGAGGCTATGCTGTGTAGGGGCGTGGCCAGATACTTTAGCCACGCCTTTGCTGCTCAACCACCTGCTGAGATGTGGACGAAGCAGTTGCGAGTTATTAAGTTGCGCAAATTCAACAGTGATTTGGTTGCGCAACTGGTTGCTCGGCTGTGGAGCCCGACTTGCCACGCTGTGGTGGCACAGGGAGAGTGAGGGGTGGGATATGGGCACAGAGGACACGTGGAGAGGGGGTGACCCCGAGGTAGCTTCTGGCCGATGTCCCCCAGGTCAGTGTGTGACCTCTGCTGGGGCTGC